ATATGTTTGGCCAGTTCCTGAGAGGCACATTGTAAAGTGCTTTGGATTTAAGTCATCGCCAAGCCTGCCAGATTCATGGGAAGGCTACATGTAGCTTTGCCAGCTCTCCAGATTACAATGGGACATTCTAGCTACCACATATGTACAAATAGGCCCTGGAGCAAGATGCTACCAAGGGCTTTGACAGCCTCGCCAGACGCGAAGGCTACCTGTGGCTGTACCCAGCCAGACGCAAAGGTCAGCCCTCAAAGTTTCAAAGAGATGATTCAGATACAAATGGGCCCTGGTGCAAGACACTACCTAGCTTACGACCTACCTTGCCAGACGCAAAGGCTACCTGGGGCATCACCAGCTCTACCAAATGCAAAGTTTTTACAGACCAAACCTGCAGCAAACAGGGTTTTCATACTCTAATCAGAGTCCCTGTCTTCAGCCCATCTTGGGGCTCTAAAAGGAACCCCAAAAATAGACCCTGCGGTTCCAAAAGGAGGACAGTGTGCTGTGCCTGTGAAGCCTCCAAGGCCTGAAGTTGATGGAGCTGAGTCCTTGTAGTCCTCTTCCCTGTTTGTCAAGGAGCTGAGGCTTGATGTTGAGAAACTTTTTCACAAAGATGGAAATTTTGACTACAAGTATTTTCACAATCACAGTGTAAAAGTTTGAGTCATTCATTAAACCTCAACAACTTTGTTTGGAGTCCAAGCATGATTTAATGCCTTGGATCAAAGTTATTTACACACACATACATTGCAAATGCTGAAAAACATCATTCTTGTGAGCACAGCCATGAAATAAAAATCATGTGAAAGAACAAAACAAAACCATAAACGGAAGTTTAATATGTACATTTTACATACGAGTTCTTCAGAAGCCCGAACAGAGAATTAACCGCAAAACAACAACGACAATAATAATCTGAATTTAAAGAAAAAAAAAAATTTTTGTTTGTTTTTATCTTATGGTGTCCGTCAACAACTCAGAATTCATAACTGGCGAAGAGACTGGAGAGGAGAGGAGTAGCCCACAATGCTGTGCGCTTTTACGCACGGTTCTTTCTCCAGATTTTTTGGATTCCGGCTCCAGCCAACAGAGCCATGCCCAAATCCTAGATTTCATCAAAACGCAAGAAACATGATAATCAGACAACAGGGGAAATGAAATAGTGGGATAGGAGCTAAGTAACGGTGGAGAGTGTTACTACCAAGCACGGAGCTCGAGGAAAAATGTGATCAGTCTGTCAGTGGCCATTAACCAACTGCTGTGTACAAGCAATGGCTAAAATCTTTTTTTTTTTTTTAGGACAGAGCATAGTAAGGACTTGTGTGTTTATGTCCAGGATTTTAAAGCGATTAATGGATTATTCAGTCATATGTAAATCATTTTGATAATACTGAATAATTGTAAAAGTTGTCTTACCTTCATGGTTGTCGAGCAACACATGGACTCCTCTCTGCAGGTGCAGCTCCAGGTCCTTAGGTCTATTGGCCATATTCAAACTCCACAGAAGTTCAGTAATGCAATAGTTTTATCCTCCAACACGATCCAGTAGTTTTCCAGTAGTTTATTTCCGCTTCTCCAAGAGTTCGCGTTCCGCAGCTTTGGTTTGCAACAGGTGAAGTCGTATTAATTGTATCCAAATCCAGGTGCAAAGGGACAGATCCAAATGACACGCGACCCTTCTACACCCTCAGTTAGGTCTCATTACGTTTGTTTATGTGTGGCACGCGCATGCGTGTGACATCATTCCAAACAGACATCATATTTGGTATTTCTGCATGCAATTCTGCATGGCTTCCAGCATATGTTATTCCCATTTTGGGATTTCTTGGCTGGACCCCACACTTGTGTACCATATTATAGTATTGGGTTTATTGCTAAATTTATCATTTTGACTGGGGTCTTAATTGGAATGTAAATCAAAAGTGTTTTGTTTTTTTGATGGCGTAAAAAGCCCTTCCTGCTTTTACTTTCAGCGCATTGACAGCCATGAGAAAAATATCCAGTGGAGTTGATATTTAGGCTTAAATATGTATGATGATGTATATGGTCAATTTCTGTGTTTCATAGTGTGAATTTATTTCTCAGAGAATTGGATTTTGGATTGTTTTTGAAACATCAATATTTTGGTCTTCTCCATATTGACAGTTAGTGCCCATGTACGATTCGACTGTGGAGTCAAACATGGGCACTTGTGGAGGGACCAGAGAACCTGTTCATCAGCAAACATCAGACATGTGTTTCTATATATATATATATATATATATATATATATGTATATAAATAGAATCACATGTGATGTATATATATATACACACACACTGTTGCCCATATGGTTGGAATAATTTTGTTTTCAGACACAATCCTCTGTTTATTCCTATTTAAATGCATCAGTAATCACTTTTGATCAGGTGCAATGATTACATTATGTGTCCCAGTTACCCAGGTGAAATGAAATAAATCACATTGTCACAATCATTTAATGGAAAGAGGTAAAATAAAATTTTATTCCAACTTTATGAGCAACAATATATATATATATATGTATATATGTATGTATAGTTGAGTGAAAAAGTTTGCATCCCCTTACTGTGAAATGACAAAAACAGTAAAACAAAGAAATTTGTTTTCATCATCACAATATTTAAAGCATGTTCAGTTGGCTCAAATGTTCCTTCATCCTCAAAAGTAACAAAAATGTTCAAAGAGTGCATAAAAAGAACGTTTTACTGAAATAATGAAAATTATATCAGTCCAAACATTTGCATCCCTCTTTATGAAATGCTCTCTTATCCTTTGTATGTCCTCCCTTTGCCTTTATAACCTCTTCCAACTTCTTTGGATACCCTCTGAGCAGCTTCTGTGCCCTCTCAGGAGTAATGTTAGCCCAGTCTCCATGGCATATTTGTTCCAAGTCTACCAGTTTGCTTCGTTGCTGGCCTGTACGGCCTTTTTCAAATCCATCCACAGGTTTTCATTCAGGTCAGGGAAGGCCATGGCCAAAACTCTCACCTTATTCTTTTTAAGCCATTCCTGATTTGACTGATTTGTAATTTGGATCATTGTCTTGATGAAGGATCCACTGTCTCTTCATTTTTTAGCTTTTGGACAGGTGGTAGGAGGCTTTGCTTTAAAATCTGTTGATATTGGCCTGCATTCATTTTTCCTTCCACTTTATGCAGAGCTCCAGTGCCTGATGCATACAGACACCCCCAAAACATCAACAAGCCTCCACCATGTTTGAATGTGGGAATGGTGTTCCTCCCCTCATAGGCAGAGTTTTTTCCTCGCCACACATACCTGTTCCAATTATGACACTATAGTTCAACTTTGGTCTCATTAGACCACATAATGTTGTTCCAAAACTCACTTGGTTTGTTCACATGCTCTTTAGCATCCTTTGAGATTGCTGCCTTGTGTCTATAAGCAATGGCTTCCTGCCTGCTTTCACCTCAAACATTTTAGACTTGTGCAGACTGCGCTTGACTGTGGAGATGTAAACTTATATTCAATTTGCCTCTAAGGATTTTGTCAGTCACCTGCTGTTTGTTTCCAATTCTTACATAGCTCTAAAGCAAGTTTTCTATTTTTCTTGGTCTTGCACTCCATAGTAGAGTCTTAGTGTGTTCAGGTTTCTTCCATTTCCGGATTATGGTCTTCACAGTTTGTAGTGGTATTCCAAAACGCTTTCAAATATCTTTATACCCCTCTCCAGCTTATGAAAGTTTACCAGTTTAATTGTCTTCTGGCAGCTGTTTCCCTCTTCACATTGTTGTTATTGCGCTCAGCAAACTGCATGAACATCTTGGACATTTATACCCACTTGCAAATATAAAATGCAAGCCTAATTGAACACACTTGTTGCCACTCATCAAGCATTAAGTCGTGACAATGGTTTTTTAAAGACCAGACACCTGATTTTGAATATTAAAATGAATTACTTAGAAGATTCATCAAAAGAGATGTAGACTTTTGAGCTTGGTATTTAAGGTACATTTGGACATGGACTCAGCTATTTTAACAATGAGTCCATACCATAAAAAGGTATTTAGTGGGAAACATATTTAGATAACTATGGAATGCTATTTTGAAGCTTAACTGTAATATATAGATAGATTTTTTGATATTTCACCCAGGGTCTAAGGGGGATGCAACTGTATAGCCTTTTTTTTCTTTTTCTTTTTTTTTTGCAGCCTTGTATCATTGTATCTTTATTTTGGCGCACATGTGTGTTAATGACAGTGGGAGGATAGAGATAGGCTGCAGTCCGATGTGCAATGGTGACGCATGAATCCAATTTTACTTTTGTGTTGGACATTGTGGTCATTGAGGAGGAATTTAACTACATGGGAACTAATGACGCTTAGGAACAACACACAGCTTGTGGTGCATATCCCTCTGTAATTCTGAGGGTCACGTTTGTTGCCACTTTTAAACATATAGATGTAATGAGAACATTTTTCCACCTCTCCAGAAAATATCCGTCACTCAGAATTTGATTGAATAATAAAAACAGAGTTCCAGTAGCTCCTTCCTATTACTGTTAATCGCAGTGTCAAAGTTGTTTTTAGTTAACTGTCTCCTTCACTGCTGATGACTTCACGCTGTGTATCAGTCCAGGCATTAAAATCACCACAGATTATTATATTTTCCTGCCCTTGGTAATGGCATATCTCTGACTCAAGGCAAGGACATATGTCATCAGAAATCCTCATATCCTAACCCTAGGACACTGATAGAGTAATTTAAAAAGCTCATAGCTATATAAGCTACCCCTCTGTGTAGGGATAGGACGTCGTATTTCTTTATTGTGAGCCAAATAATATTTGTAATAAATTGTGTGAATTTAACTTGTTGCATATGACGACTCCTGAGTCCCTTTGATTAAAAACAGTGGATAATTTCTGGGAAGGGGCATCATGGGACTGGACGTCATGACGGTGTGCCGACACGTCACATCACGTATAACCGAAGACAGTACGGGCCCAGTCCGGACTGCTAACACTTTAGATTAAATATTGTACCACATTTACCACCTGTGATTTTTCGCGTTTTATTTTCGTAGGCGGAATTTCCCTGCTTCCGCTGCTGGGTTAAAGGCTGGGTGTGTCCCTGCAGCTGCTCGAGCCCCACCCTCTCAGTTGTTGTTGTAGTTATTAACAGTCGCGCACTGTGGCTCGTGCTATCATTCTGTGGTTTGTGCCGAGAGCTGCCTCGTCGCGCGCATGCAGCAGAATGGCTCGAGCGGGTCTAACGGTTCTGATGGCTGCAGCAGGGAGCGTCAGTCTCTGTCCTTCAGCCCACTGCCCGCCGCTACTACACGGGTAAGACGTTTCATTCAGGAGAGACGGACGCTGCCCCTACCCAGAGTGATGGTGGTATTCTCGGCCGCAGGGGACACCGAGAAACCGAGCGATGCCATGTCCAGCTCGGACTCTGCGGAGGACGATTTCCGAAAGCCGGCCTCCCCCTCGCCGAACCTCACCCTCAGCAAGCCGCTCCGCTCCCCGCTGAACACACAGGAGCAGGAGGTAGGCCGCTTCACAGCGCTGTTGTACATGGAAAATCACATCAAACCAGCTCACACACCACACACTCAAGCTAACTAACTGCAAACCACGCTCAGATAATGTTAAGCTGCAGATATAATGGGCGGCAACTGTTAATTATCCAGATTCACTACTGAATAAATAACAGCTGTCATCCATAACAGCACAAAAGTCCTAAAAATAGAGTACAAATACACAGGAAGTTTGAGTGACTTGACTGTTTGAGTTTCAGTTCCATGTAACTAAAATGATTATGACCACATAATAATATTATATTGGCCTAGGCACTAGTCCAGTATAATATTATTATATTATACTGAGTCAGCTGCATATTGATATTAATACAGGCTTAGTTAGATAGATAGATAGATAGATAGATAAGGGATGAATGGAGAAACATGATGACAATGCCCCCATTCATAAGGTACATGGATCACTGAATGGTTTGAGTATGAAAATGATGTGGATCATATGCTAAGGCCTTCACAGTCAGATGTCGACCCAACTGAACACCTATCAGAGATAGACTGACATGTTAGACAGCACTCTCCACCACCATAATCAAAACACCAAATGAGGACATATCTTTTGGAAGAATGATGTTCACCCTCCAGTAAAGGTCAGGGTCTTCTGGAATCAAAGGGCACATGGTGGCATAACACCTTACTAAGAAACTTTATGTTGTTGTTGTTTTCCTTTTTAATTTGTCACCCACCTGTAGATTAGAGCTGCAACTAACAATAATTTTCATTATCTATTAATCTGCCAATTATTCAATTAACCGTTTAGTCCATGAAACAGCAAAAACTTTTGCTGAGTTAAAGGTGATGTCTTCACAAGTCTTCAGTTTACAGTGATATATGATGAAGGAAAATAGAAAATCTTCCCTTTTGAGAGGCTAGATGAAGCAAATATTTGACATTTTGGTTAAACAAATTACTTACTGACAGATATTCAGTTAGTAAAATAGTTGCTGATTCATTCTCTGTCCATTGACTAATTGATTCATCAATTAATTGACTAAATTGTTGCAGCTCCGATCGAAAAAGATGTTTTCTTTAGAGGTAGGTAGGTAGGTAGGTAGGTAGGTAGGTAGACACTAATATACCATACATTACTCTAAGTCAGGTGGATATTCTTGAATATAAGTATAATACATGAATAATTTACTCAATGCATTGTATATACATATGGTAACAGTATGTAAAGATAGTACTTCAAAGATTATCACAAGTGAATCTGAAATCCGTCAATTTTTGTTGTTTGGTTAAGTCGGCTGGGCCCTGTCACGATTGGCTGGCAGTTGTCACCTGACTTGTGTTAATGAGCGAGCATGTGATGTGTCAATCTCGGACCATCCTGCCCGCTGAAGGGTCTAAACATGGCTACAGAAGAATAATCCTCTTATAGTCCTCTGTGGTCTGACTATAAAGTCACAGCTGATCAGACACTTGGAGTGACACATTCCTCCTCACACAGGCTATTCACAGCTCTAGGTATTAAATGAGCATTTTTCAGTCAATCCATTCAACAACAACAACAACACATTTATATAATAAATCACCATTCTGCTCTCCTGATGTTGTGTCCACGGTGTGCATGTACAGGGGGAGGAGGGGATTATATCATTTAACTCCTATAACATAATATAATATAAGAGTTATTGGTAGTACTGCTACTGCACATCACCAGTGCTGTTTGTCTATATTAATCTTACCTGATAATGATCTGAGGACTGAAACGTCATTAATACAGTAAGCACAAGTGTTGGACAGGGTGCACTGTGAGATACATGCGCATTTGTTGCAACGTTATCTAAAAGTACATTGTCATAATACAGTACATTGTGAAATACGTGACAAATCAGCTGACTCACTATTACAGATTAACTGTTAACACAACAAAAAGTTCATGTATTATCAGGAGAGATTCCCCAGACACTCATCAAAATAATTTAATTTACTTAACAAATATTGCTGTGATCTGGTCTGGACATTCTCCTCTAGACAGAGTTCATAGATCAAGTCTGCATTAAAGCCACCCTGAGCCGTCCTGAACCACTAATTAACAATAAACAGAAAATCTCTATATTTCTTTAAACATATTCAGTGGTTAAAAACAACTGTAAGTATTACTTTCTAGTAAAATAGGCATTTGAATAACACCTGTCTCTATCTCTAAGTTTTCAATTTTTTCATCCATTCAACAGTTGTTTTTTTATGGTGTGTAACATGAATATAGTATTGTATGGTCACTAGCATGGCTGTAGACTTTGTGTCTTGTTATTTACCAGTTTTATTTCCATTCTCATCTAAAGTTTCCAGAGGTCATCTCTCTGAATGTTGGGGGCATGTACTTCACCACTCGCCTGTCCACGCTGCGGCGATATGAGGACACCATGTTGGCTGCCATGTTCAGCGGGCGTCACTACATCCCACGTGATGCTGAGGGACGCTACTTCATCGATCGGGATGGAGCATACTTTGGGTGAGCTTGGCGAAATATCAAATATCAGGATCAGAAATACTTGGGAGAGGAGGGTTATGTGAGAGAGTAGAAAGTGTGTAAAGATAGCGGAGGACAAACTTTTAGTTTGTGAAAAAATGTTCACACTCTGAAAGTGGCTTTGAAGCTGCTGAAGGAAACTTCAGTATGCTATGTAAACAACTGGCATCTCTGGCTTTTGTTGGTACTGTAAACTGATTTATATATTTAGTACTGTGCTGCTGGTTTTTCTTAGCTGTTTCTTATCAGCTGATATATAGTATGTCTACACCGATATGTCTGTGCTCAGATAAAATTTAAAATTAAAATTGGTTTATGTATATGTGTAGCTGCCAATATGAGCTGTGTCTCCACAATCACACTTTAGGAGCTCTATTGTTTATGTGTCTATTTAAAATACAATAAAAATAAAGTACAATAGAATAAAATGGGAGAGAGGCTAGATTCCCTGAAGATAAAAGCCCACAATGCGAGTGCAAAGTGTGTCAAGGATTATAATCTGGGACTTTACTCTCACCTGGGTCTTCCCTATAATTTTACCAGCTATATTTACTATTCTCTACAATTTCAGTCTATTCCTTACATTCAAATTTCTATACCACATTACTATATTAAAAATTAATACTTTCCACCAGTCTTACATACCATTTCCAGAGTTTGTCTACCAACGCACAAAAGGCCAACCAAAGCCATATCATATCATATTTTCAATTCATTCATTCTTATACAAAGAACACAACAAAGGCCTTTAGTTACATGACAGTGTGGTTCTGCATTGTGAACGGGTGGAGAGGGGAGGACAGTTGAGCAAAGCCGGCGGAAACTGACTGAAAAAGTGCAAAATGAGGAGTTGTGTGGGTTGTCCCTGATGTGATCAACCTCATCACAGTTTAACAAAACTTAATGTGATCTGTAAAATTTCATTCACCACTGAGATCCATCGTTCTCCAAACAAAGCAAATCGTCATTACTCATTACTGAGAGGATGTTTTTGTTTTTTTTTTGTGCAAAACAACAAACAAAAAACAAAATCAAACTCAAAATCAATTTACGACACAAACCGATTAACTTGAAACAGCACAGTGATAAAAACACAGTAATATACAAAATGATATCAAGTTATAAATTAACTAAAATCGTCAAGAAAGGCATACAAATTACATATAGAACAGGGCCCTGTGTGTACAGTCGGTTATAGGGAGCAACCCAAACTGACAAAATAACAAACCCCTTCACTTTAATAGCCACAAAACATGAGTTGGTAGAATTTGTCTTTGTTACAGCATGGATAAAAAAAACACTTATTTGGATTATGAGGCAGAGTTAGGTGTTCTTATTGGAGCAGAAAAAAGATGTTCTGAAAACAGGTTGTTGTCAGTGATCCTGAGGGCATGAAGGTCTGCTTCAAATTTCCAATTTTGGCCGAGACACAAATATTTCATCCACATATGTCAACCTCATGGTGGCGCTAGATGAAAAGTGAAGGGGTTTACCAAAGTCAGTGGGATTCATCCCCTGGAGGCCATAATGTCTTTACTGAACTTCATAAGTTATTTCAGTCTGGACCAAAGTGGATCAGCACCAGCGTCCCTGGTGCCATGCTGCTAGCATGGCTAAAAAGGAAAAGCAAATTGCTTTAAATATGAATGTGATAACAAGCAGAGACAAGCTGTATGACTTATGTAAGAAGTGGGTTAGGGTAATTTCAGTTCTGTTCGAATGCCCCAGTGTGTGTCTGTGTGAGGAGGTGTGCATGAAAAATTTAAACACAAGGAGCCAACGGAACGAGAGATGGAAGACGTGTAACTATATAAAGTAATAAAAAACCTTGAGAGGATGCTGGCCCACTGCAGGAGTAGAGACACTCAGAAAGGCCCTTTTCATTTGAGATATTAATGCTGGTGTTTTCGGGGGCCTATGGCCTCGCTGGAAAATGAATCTTCTTTCACGCTGCTGTTGTGTTGTACACTGCAGCAACTTTTACTCCAGGACTTCTCTGTATTTTTCTGCATTCATTTCATCCTCTGTGTTCACAAGCCTTCCAGGTTTTACTGCAGAGAAGCAGAATCAAATTCGACTTTGTTGGCTGAGTATGTTGATACACACAAGGATTTTGAGTCAAGATGTCAATATACTTAAACAGTTGTACAGGATGAATCAATTATAGACTTGCAGCTAAATAAATTTAAACAGACATAAATATATAGCTAGTGTGCAAGTAGGTATGAAAATGTGTAATTTATGTCATAACTTTGTACAGCAGTAATTCACCTGGCTGGAAGTGAAGGTAATGAAATAATAATTTTCCTCCACTGCAGAGGTGTTAGTTGCAAAAAAGTAAACAATGTCAGAAATGTAAAAGAAGTTGATAACATGAATCTTAACAGAAAAAAGGTGTGACATCCCACAAAGGCTGCACACACTGTCATCTGGACATCTAAATTTATCGCAAGGCCAGATACGTCACTTGGATCACCAAGTAGTGTGGAACAAAAGAAAACCTGAATTGTCTTGGTGAGTCACCTCAGCTGGGAATGTGAGAGGAAAAACTGCAGGTGGAAGTTAGTTTGAAAATCACCACCTTGGTACAGTTTTTATTTTATATAGTCTGCATCAAGGGGAAAGTTAGTTTAAAGTTAGAAATTGACCAGATGGATGTCAGCAAAATTACTCTCATTCTCAATCGTTCTAAGGCCGTCTCATGTTTGACAATGCAAAGAAGGCAGGAATGAATGTTTGTGTGTAATAATGTATTAATTCACAGGTGTGGGCAATATGGATAAGATCCTCTGTCGCTGTATATGCAACTTAATTTGGCAGTATTGATACAAGAAGTGACAGTGAAACAGCTTAAAAACTTGAATGGATATTTGTTTAGGGATATGGTGGACAGGGATCCCTCTTTTTGCTTAATCCAGCATATTGAATATCTGACAAATGAAGACTTAACTACATTGATTCAAAAAAAAGTATGAAAATCCAATATTGCCATAAGGCAGTCTTGCCTATTGAGTGCTTTGATGAACAAATACAGCCGGCTTAAAATTGTGACTCAAATTTTCAGAGTGGATGTTACAGAATTAGGAACTTAGGCACAAAAAAAGAGCAGGATAAGGCTGCAGGATACTACAGTCTGTCACTTCTGACAGTATTATACACAGGAAAATCTCTGATCTGAATTTTTCCAGTTACTAGAAATTAATAGACACCTGACAGTAGGGTTGGACCAATGTAAAAACCACAACTAGGTGCCGCACAAACGTAATATTATGTTTACCACATTGTCTTATTGTTTATTACTAATGAAATACACGTTGGATTTAGCGCCATGATGCCGTTAGCACAGTCATCATCTGTTTTTATTACTTCAGTTTAAAATAGAGCCAGCCCTCCTACTTCAAGGCAGATTTGTTTAGAGTCAGATTCATGAGGCAGGATTATTGTTTTCTGTGGACATGTTCTAGCCATACTGTTTTCCATCTGAAGGGACATCCTGAACTTCCTCCGAGAAGGTGAGCTTCCCCACAGGGACCGAGTGAGAGCGGTGCACAGAGAGGCTCAGTACTACGCCATTGGTCCGCTGCTGGACAGCCTGGAGGAAATTCAGCCGCTCACGGGAGAGAAAGTTCGACAAGCTTTCCTCGATCTGCTGCCCTACTACAAAGGTAACTGAAAAGAGCGCGGCTGTTATTGTCCATTAACTAAGGAAAATGTTACAAAATCTAAATGTGACATCAGCATCAAAGCTTCATCCGTTTACACAACTATGCACTATTGCAGTGGTTTTAAAGTCTGTGGACTGGGAATTCATTGAGTTACTTTGTGTTTTATAACTTGAGCCCTATTATTTTTTACCCTGTATTTGTTCATAATTTTAGCAAATTGACTCCATTAGATTAAAGTACGCCAAATTAGCAATTAGTTTCTGTTTGCACTGTACACTTGGATGTGGAGGCAACTATCAAGAAAGAAAATTTCTGATGATTGTGTAGTTATCAGGAGCATATTTTTAAGAGCATATATGGATGTTTATTGACAGTGGACATCAGAGACAATAATATCCTCAGAGGATGTAATTCACTGAATGTGTTTCATGTCAGTGTGTTCAGATTGGACTGAGTTATGACTCAGACAGAGTACAGGCTCAGGATTTAAAGCACTTAATTGTCTCCACAAGCTGTGAGTCGTAGCCACTGCTGCTGCTTCAACTGGCGTCTGTGTTGTTAAGTGGGCCAAACTACAGTAACTAACTCCCTGTTGTTTTTTAGAGCGCCTGCATGTACCTCACCTCACACAGTATCTTTGCCTTGCCTCACACGCCCGCTGTGTGCCTCACAGCTTGAAAATCTTTGCATTACTGCAACAGCCACACTGCAAACCAGCACACTACATTTGAATTATAGGCCCACTGATTGCAAAGGCATTACTTTACCAGGATTACTGCTGACTACAGCGTTCAACATCTCTGCTGCCATTTTTCTAAGCTTCACAGTGCTGTGGGTGTAACGGTACATATCCAAGGATTTTGGTTTGGTGCATGATGATTCAGTACACCTTCTTTACAGGCTTATTAGCCTCATATAGTCCAATTTTAGTCCACATCTTCACATTTGGGGAACATGAATTAAATTTTGTGAGCTCCAGGTGGAAGGCTTTGGCAGTGTTTTAGCTGTTGTTAGCTAAACCATGCTATTCAAGTTAGTCCAGCTCACACATTTACATGGAAACACGAGCAGCAGGAGCCACTGATATTTTTTACAGTTTCCTTGTTAACTGTAGAGTGAACAAAGTACACCGGATACATTGCTCAGGATTTGTAGCCATGCACGTTGCCACTGTTTACTATATCTACAGTGAACAAATAGCTGTGAAAAAACAGTGTTGACAGGTTCATTAGTACTTTATTCCTCTTTCAGCAAAGACAAAAATAGCTCAGACTCAAAATGAAATTGAGATCTTGTTTGCCGAGAAGGCAGAAACAGGTTTGACTGGCAGCTTAATGATTGTTTAAAACCTGTTTCATCTCCCAGTTAAAGTTTTACCTCTGACACTGATGAGATGCAGAGACGATGATGGAGAAAGAACCAACAGATAGATTGTGCCCCGGCCATCCACATTGCTGTGAGCTTTGTAAAATACCATGGCAGCAAAATTTGTTAAGTTTGGCAACTGCACATGACGTGGTGGTGCTCTGTGAGGTGTGCTGTTTTGTTCCTTTACTTTATCTGCAAGCAAAGAGCTGGGTTGGGTGCCGATTGGTTTTACACATTTGTGCATTTTTATTACAAATTAGAAGGAATACAACCTGATTAGGTTGTTATTTAGTATGTACTTCACCATGATTTAATGTAAGGACAGTGGATATCATTCAAAGTTACATTGCTTTTCAATACCTCCTCTGGGGGAGGAAACAGATGCAGTATCCATGTGATTTGTCTAACACAGACTTCTGAAGAAGACTGCACTTACCCCTCATTACTTACATTGTAAACATGTGAAGACAGGAGTATGAACATGAGGAATGATTACAGCACCCAAAAACCTGACAAGACAGACTTGAAAAATTGTGAACCTAATCCTCGAATATGTTTACATTAATAAATGTAACTGTTTTCATTTCAGACAATCTGGAGCGCATCGTGGAAATTGCCAAACTGAGGGCCATGCAGAAAAAGGCAAGATTTGCGAAGCTGAAGATCTGTGTCTACAAGGAGGAGATGCCAATCACGCCATATGAGCGTCCTCTTTTTAACTCTCTGCGCTTTGAGCGCTCCGACAGCGAGGCCAAGCTCTTTGAGCATCACTGCGAAGTGGACGTTTCCTTTGGACCTTGGGAGGCAGTGGCAGATGTTTATGACCTGCTGCACTGCATCGTCAGTGACCTGGCAGAGCGCGGCATCACTGCCGAGCAGCAGTGCATTGGTGTCTGTGACAAACACCTCATCAACCATTACTACTGCAAGAGACCCATCTATGAGTTTAAGATCACGTGGTGGTGAAAGCGTGAGGGAGACGGTCGTGGCCGATTGGACCAAAAAGCAAACGGATGGATGGTCCATTTTTTATATAATTCAGCTGATATTGGTTTTTGTATTGAAGTTGCCAATAATTTGTGCTGACGTCTTAAAATGTGACCCTTTAAATCATGCTCCAATATACAAATATTCTGTGTTTCCCCCAAATATTCTTCTTTTCTGTCTATGACACAAACAAATTACACTCAGTTGGTAGTTTATTAGGCACACCTATCTAAAACTAATGCAGTTCTGCAATAAATGTTGCAACTATTCTAGAGAGGTGTTGAGTTAACTGTATGATCATTTCATAGTTTGTAGGTTGTGGTGCCGCTGAACTGTATTGCAGTTTGCAGTGTTTTATGTTGTTTAGCCTACCCTCATTGATATAAATGGGGTGGACAAAGTAATAGAAACACCTGCCAGTATAATGCAACTATGCCTCTAAAATGATCATACATTTGAATCAACACCCCTTCAACTAAAACTGAACAGCTGTAGCAAGGTGTACCTAATAAACTGAGTGTAAATACCAACTCTTTCCGGGGAATTCCAGGCCGATGAAAAATCCTACTAATGCTTTAAAGTGGTTTAACTTCTCCTCAGTGATGTACAGTGATGTACTCTGGGACCCCGCACAGTTTGTGATCAGATGGGTTTTGGCAGCGCTCAGGGCCCAGTCACTGCAGTTACATGTACATGCAAGTTGAAGAACAAAACACAATGTGAAAAAAACACAGCTACAGTGTGTGTGTGTGTGTGTGTGTGTGTATGTGTGTGTGTGGCATGAATGAAAGGTGAGCCATTATGCAGCTTCTGTAGACAGTTGTGTTCATTAAAATGGAAGTTTATCTGTCAAAAAACATGTAGAAATCCTGTTGTGCATCTGACGGAACAGATTTCATTTGCTTTCATTTTAATCAATACAGCCATCTATACTGGCCACCTAAAGGGATATTGGTAAATGTTTAAATGTAGTGTAACAGTAGCACCATTAGAGCGGAGCCACTAGTAATGTTTTTCTGTTAGCACGTGTTGATCTACTTAAGCCATGCTGTGCCAAGCTAAGTGGTCCTGCTCGGTACCAGGACCAGCTCTCAGTGCTGCTCTGTGGTTTGGAGTTTGTTTTTAGCTGTTTGTATTTTCAGATATCAAGCTTATTTTACCGTTTATCGCTTTCAGTCGTATGAGAGCTGTGTTAAGTCACTGCTGATGAACCGAACCTTTCTTGCTTTTTTATAAAGTAGTGTCTATCTAATGTCAGGCTAACATTGATAATACCAGTCTAAGCATAGCTGCACTGGTGTATATTTTTGCATTCAACTTTTCATTTGTAATATATTACATTTTTTAAAAGTTACATAGTTCTGCTTTAAGGCGCGTAACCTTGACCCAAAGTGTCTTTTGAGGCTTTAAACCTGTTTTCTTCCAACTTCTGTGTGTAACTAGTGACTGTGGATAGGACTGCGAGGTCTGCCAAGACCGATCTGAACGCCTAGCAGCACTGTGGCTGAACGCAACCAGTGTAGACACTGATGAAGAATTGAAGCTGATGTTGACACACCACTCTCGCTATGCAGCCAATGTAGACAAAGTTTTAGACTAAAAATCTGAATGTGCAAAAATGTGCAAAAAATCTAAAGCCTGAGATGATCGTCACGTCAGAAGTGGGTCTTATCTCATTTGAAAGCCAGTTCTGCTCATTATCCAGTGATATCCTAAATGCTTTTTTAGTATTATTGTTATTGTTGTCATTATCATTGCTTTAATATTGTTATTATTATTTCCTACATTATTCATAACTGATTTATCCTCCTAACTATACCTTTGTCCTGATCTGGATTGATATGTGATTGGGTTCAGGACTTTCACTACATTTCCAGTTCTAACATTCAAAGAACCTCATAGTAAATAATGAATATTGTAAGTAAGGAAACTGAAGTCAAACTTGTATTTTTTTAGGACTAAGTTTTGTGTCTGGATACAGAATAACTGTGAACCTGTTCTGTTTGGATAAAGAGTATATTTTAATTATGCAACCTTCTGAGGACTGTTGTGTGTTTTTAAAGATTTAAAGAAGAGAGGTTGGATGGTATCAGTTTTGTCATACTGTCAAACAGTTGTCACATTTTACATAGTTATGTAATATCAGTATGAAGGAAGCTGAATTTGTTGCACACTAATGTAAATTTGCAGATGTCGTCGTGGCAGAGAATCTTAAATCTAACAAGTTAAGTACTTATTTAATGTCAACCATCACTCCGCTGTCGCAACATTACGACATGAAATTCATTGAAGCTGCGATATAGTGTCATAGAGTGTCAACGCTAAGTTACATGGCTGTTTCCTACTGTACTTGATGATAAAGTCTGAGCACCTTGTGATTGTAACTAAGATATATATTTTTTTTACCTCAAATTGCTCCATAGTTATCTACGATAGAAAGTAACAGCATCGACAGCATCAGTTTATTTATCTTCACTAAGAAAGCCAACATGCTTATGTTGTTGATGTACTTTGATAGATAATGCAGGAGAGACGTTTTCTTCCTTTGGAGCACTACTAATCTTGATTTATGTTTTTCAATGTTTTGAATGTTTTTTTATATTGTTATTTATCTCTTTCCGTTAGCTTCTAGGAAGCTATAGATCCACAGTCCTCTTTGGGTTTAGTTTGTAGTGAAAAAGCAATGTGTGATTTTTATTATTTATGGTAATATTAAAAATAACTTAAATGCTACATGTGTCCCTCTTGATTATGGTAATTGGCTCATTGGTCTGTGGAGACCCTGACCAAATCACTTCCTTTTCCACCTCCTCCCAAAACACACTGATAAGATTACTGATGTTTTTACACATACCAGAAGAAAATTAAAGCAAGTAGAACCCAGCACACCTGCTGTACAGTGGCAACATACAGTCAAACTAAATTTTAACAAAGAACTGTCATGTTCAGCTTTTCTTGCTTTTTTATTCTAAATGATTTTGCTGCATTGATTCTGATCTTTTTTTCTTGTAAAGGTGGAGAGCAGTTGTGATGAGTCCCAATTATTTAACCTCTGTTGGTCAAAAGACCTGCTGAAACTCCTTTGATGAGAGGCCCAAATATCTTCAACTCCAACCACCATCCAGAGGAAGGTTTCATTTTTACCTGAAATTGTATTCTCTGTGTTGAGTCCACACAGCTACAATGTGTACAGTACCTCTTTGTACATTTTCTCCTCTGCAGCTTCCTGACAGGGTGGGCGGATCAATCTCCAGAGTCTTGATACTACCTATACCATGTCTTGTTTTGAGCAGTGATACCAAAAACACATGGATCCGTCACATGTTAGCTTACATCCTGGCCACATGGACACTCTTATTATTGCTGAAATATTTGTGTCTCTGCTGCTGGTGTGTGCATGTGTGCAGTGATCACCTCTTTGGTGCAATGACCTCACATATAATGTTAATGTTATGCTCTCATATCATATCATTCACCATCTTAGTTTAGCATGTTAGCATGCTTACATTTGCTAATGAGAGAGTATTGCAGGTGTTTAGGCCTAAACAAGTGCAGTTAGAGGCAGGAGGCATGTGCTGAAAACAACACACACAGCTAAGAGGATAATTCCCCGGCATCAGCACCATGGAGAGCTCCATGTAATTAGATTGTATTTGAACCTATAACAAAACGTCATAGAAGACACATTAAGAGAATATACATGTACACGTAGCTCAAATTTAAACTCAAGTACTTGAGTATACTTATAGTTACATTCTGCCAGTGTTTTTAAATACTATGTTTTAGGAATGATTTAATCGAAACTATGTCTGGTTGTTGTTTATTCAGTCATGAATATTTAAAGTAAGAGAGAAATACTGAAGATCTTTAATGACTTTAAGATTATTCTTTGAACACAGTGGATATGGATACTTATGTGTGAAATATCTGTGAGTAATATATCATATTTAACTTGCTTGACACAGAAAGATGGAGGCAGATTGATACATAACACAACTTTACAACAAATGGGCTTAGTAAACTAAAAACAATAAAGGTCTTAAAACCACCTTTTGACACAGGGTCCCTCTACAAGACAAGACAAGACAAGACAAGATGGAGGATAGAGGACACGGGTCATATTGTGGATCAGAGGTGCACATTTCTAACTAATATGTGATTAGACACAAATTATATCTAGTAAACCTGGGTTTTTTTAGGGGGCCCCTGAGGATCTGGGCCCCCCCTGAAAATTTGGTAATCCAGCCTTGGTTATCATTACACATTTCTCCGCCTCCCTGTCTCCCTCTCCCCCTACCTCCCCCTCTCTCTCCCTCTCTCTCTCTCTCTCTCTCTCTCTCTCCCTCAGTGTTCACCTACGTCTCTCTCCCAGCTGAGGGGTGGAGGCTGACGGCCGATGCCTTTTCTGTGGAGAGGATGGAGGAGAGGGGTTATTCTTCAGTCGGTTTTCGCAGAGCGACTTGATAATCACAAACTACAGCCTCAGCGGAGAATTTTCATGGGAACAAAACGTCTTAAAATGAGCCGTGGAGTGACCGTTGATCTGCTGCACAAGGTACGCACCTCTCCCTCCGCTGTTCCTTGTAGCGATCATAGCTTGTTAAATGTAATCATCATATACGGGGGGCGGTGGTGGTGGTGGGGTGGATAGTTACATAACAGTGTGAGGCGAATCAGAGATTAATTAAGAGAATAATGAGTGCACTATGCAAGAAAACACGCATGTAGATATGAACATGAATGTTAACTGTAGTTGATCCCGATGGCCGATTTCCTCCTGTGACATGATGAAGGAAAAGCAGTCTGTCAGATGGAAGAAACTGGAAGGTGTTGAAGAAAATGTTCCAGGCTGTAAGAGCCTGCAGGCCCGCGGCCTCGCATCACCACAGGACGAGAACATAGATAAGGCTTCTGAACGAGCAATACTGGTGCATATAAAGGCAGAAAATGAACTGCCATTATAGGAAGCTGTTATTATTATCTGGATCACCTTCATCTCCATGGCGACAGGAAATCTCCAGCCTGTTAGTTTGCTCTCTGCTTCCTGCGGATGCACCTGATCCCAGCAAAAAATCATTTAGCCTAGCCTGCACTATAATAAAATCATGTTATTATGTTGAACAAGACTTTCCCTTAACCTGTATTGTAAATTTAAAAAAAACATCAGTGATCTCCATAGGTTAATAACTGTGGAGCCAGTTATCCTCTAATTCAGGTTTAGACTACTCTCTAAAGAAAAGTTATTTTTAAATAACTAGTCAAAGGCAAGAGCAGTAATTATTTTGACCAAATCTGAATTCTATAAACCTTCATAGATGGAAAATCACTTTTTTCATGTTTGTCATCTGACCTTAATGGAAATTATAGACTTGTTGGTACCACTTTCTGATAAGGCACCATTCAGTCTATAAGCTGTAATGAATGGATTTATTAATGATTAATACATCATTTACTAATGCTTTGTAGTCAGCCAGTTATAAGCCATTCATTGATAAGAGCTACTTTGGAGTTGCCAGGTTTTGGAAAATCCTCCTCCAGCAAAGCTCTTTAATTCAGGGGTTAGGAGGGGTCTCCCTCTGGCTGCGGGACATCTGGACCAGAATCCATTAATAAACTAATCAACTGCAGACGATTGACTGCAGAAACCTATGGTTTATTAACATTTATAGTTGCACGTGACTAACTTTTGCCAGTGATTCATTAGAAATGAGAAACCCAAGACCCTTCATTAATGTCATACGTTTACAGATATTTATAACTACATTATTACTAAATAAAAACACACAATCATGTTATTACCAAAAAATTTGCTGCAAGAGAGAGTCTTTATTCACACAGCAGAATGGGAACTATTTAGTAAAAACAGCTCTTACCATAAACATTTAACATTAACTGAGAGAATTAATTGTTCTCTCTACATTTGTACATTTTTGTTCAGTTTTTCACACATATCAACATCTAGTCAAACTCTGTAAGTTAATTAATGATTGTACTATAATAAATGTGTAGCTGTAAATGTTAATTAGAAGTTTATAAATGGAATTCGGTCCCGATGTCCTGCAGCCGTTTTCCAGAAGATAAGTGGTCAAAGAGTTCACAGTGGAGGTATCCCTAATGAATTAAAGACAAGTGTCATGCCGGAGGAGGATTTTCCTCAACCTGGTAACACAAAAATTGTTCTGAATTGCCTATAACAAGTCTATAAAGCATTAGTAGATGACTTATTAACCATTAATAAAGCCATTAATTACAGCTTATAAAACCTTTTATAAATGGTGCCTTATCAGGAATTGGTACTGACTTATTTTACACCATTGTTCATCTGCTCATCATACTTTAGTAGTGTTGTAAACAAATTTAATTAATTAAACTTTATTTAATTGGGTAACCTCCTTGAGGGTGAGATGTCTTTTTCAAGAGAGACCTGAGAAAAACAAACATTCATACTTCTGCACAAGCAACATTAAAAAGGCCAGACAACCACAATCAAGAGAAAATTAATTTAAAAAACCATCACAAGAATCATATTAAACATCAGATAATTAAGCTTTACAGTCACCACGGAGATGGAAAGGATCTGGGCAGTTTGTAGTTCATAGCATTTCATTACCTGAAACCACGATCAGTGTGTACATATAGGATATCTAAGGTTAAGTAGTTATTTGACTGTGTACTGTAGTTACAAGATTTACAGAAGAGAAGAGATGAAGAGCTTTATAGATGAACAGAGAGAGATTATTCAAATATCAAATATCATCAGACAGCACTAATGGCTCATAATGATAACTAACAGCTAGTTTTAATGTAACCTAAAATACCTGGTAATTAATGTGAAAGTGATAACTGGATCTGATGTTGTGGCTTCCCTTTAGGATTATAGATAATTTATTCAATCACTAATAAAACTATATACTTCAAATCAATCCAGTTAATCTGTAGCCTGTAATCTCAAGTGTATGTAGCTGATCCCTAATGAAACCAATAATTCTAATATAATAAGTAATTATCAAGATTTAATCCTAAACCAGTTGCAACCAGTTGCTAGTTAGTCTACAGCTTAGATAGATGTCTTTTTTAATACACTTTTTCTCCAATAAAATCTGTTCTAGTGTAATAAAAGCTTTAGTTGTTTCTTCAATAAAATAATTCCTACTGAAACCATAGTCGTATCCAATAAAAGGTTAGCTGCGTGGATTTATTGTTATCTCTGCCAAAAGCTTCCTCCTCCAAAACAAACCACTGTTTTATTTTCTGGTACTACCTAGTGAAGTCTGCTGCCTTCTCTGCAGCCACAGCAGAGCAGAAACCCTAGTTCCTGACAGTCACTGTAGTGTAACGTAGTCATTTTTTGAAGGACGGATCCTGGAAGTAACATTGTGTCTAGGCTGGTAACATGACTCAACACCCACCAGTAGTCTACCTGTGTCAGTCTGGCAACTGAGTTTGACCTGGTTTGAACCCATCTGAAGATATATCGTGTTTCTCCCAGTCACAGGCTAATGCAGTCACCTGCAGTTACTGGGTGTAAAGATTTAATAACACCTAATCTCTAGGTAAGAACTAGTTTGTGAGGTCAAACCTGTTTTAATTTAGTGCTGTGTAAAACTCACACTTAGTAAACACTCATTTTTTGAACTAGACTATTTGAACTTGTACACAGCTGGAGAGACTGATGTTACTAAATATTTACACTTATCTGCTAAATGTTAGCTACCTGACAGAACTGATGTTAGCAAGGTTATATTACAGCTTGTGATGCTGCAGTAACTTCCTGTTTACATAGACTACTGGCAGCGCTGGAGATGTTTCCAAGCAACAGATTTACAGATTACTATCAAGGGATGTGTCCGAAATCAGTCACTCATTCACTCCTCCCTGCTCACTGTCCAGGGAGTTCAATGTAGAAGACTTTATATAGTGAGCTCATTGGTAAAATTAAAAAAAACACTTTCAGACACTACTTGGGTAATTTTCTCCGCACTAATTTCAGAGCAAGCGCAATGTTAGGTTAGTAACCATTGGTTATACACTACTTTTGACTATGCATTGTGTGATACTATGAGTCCACTATAAAGGGTATATTTCTCACTATACATTCGGACAGCACCACAAAATGTTAGTAGTGAGTGAATTTGGACACAGCCAAGGACATTGTTACTATCTAGGACATTGTTTAAGTTTTAGTGGTGCAACACAATTTAGTAAATCACCATTTAAATTAGCAAGTAGTTACTAAGAACTTAAGAGGGACTTTACATACAAACTTATTGAAGGATTTAGATGGTGCAACAGGTTCTGATCAACTTTGACTTGACAAAAATATTGATAACCTGATCTGATATCCTTCATTATTACTGTTCGCTCAAAACAATGATCTTAACAGCAGCAGCGAGTGCTTGGAGTTTTATCTGTCAGGTAATCTAATCCTCTTTTACTTTGCTATTGATGGTATTTAGTGCTCAGGAAAATTTAACACTTCCTGAACAGATGTTTCACATAAAAAGCCTCCAGGGGACGATGCCTACGAGAAATCTTCTCCTTCTCTGATAGGCTTTTAATGTGAAACCAAAGCAGGGTTTTTGTTTGGGATCTTTTTAAATGTATCATTTCCATTAAAGGTTCAGCTCACCAATTTCATAAAAAAACATCTCACTATTCAATTTGTTTTTGTTTCAGCTCCCCCTTTGTTTTATTTTTGTGTAATTTCGGTAAATTGATCCTTTAATTCCCCTATCCCAGTGAATGGAGCAGGTTGGTTTCCATGCACCATACTGAAGAGCAGCAATACACAGTCTCCATTTACAACAATTTGCTGTGTTTTCAAGAATCAGTTGTTAAATGAGACTAGTTTTGATCCACTGAGCACTATGCCCGAGCTCTACAGAGCTGGAGAAATACTGCCCTAAGATTTGAAAATTACTTGAATGTGACGTTTCCTGTGTCTCTTCAGCTGTTTGTTGGCTAAAAATAACAGCACTGTCCCCATGCGGCCTCAGCTCAATTTTGGCCACATCTGGATATAGCTACCTGATTAACAATCTCCGTCACAGATATAATGAAGAAGAGAACTAGAAACCGAATCATGAAATCACATCAAATGAGTGTCTACTGATGTGTGTTCACACATTTCATCCATATCAACAGACTCTCCTTTGAGTTGAGGTTCATTTGACACAATATGTATATGTAAACCACATCCTGCTGCAGACCAAGCACGTGGTTCAAAATTTATGTACTTGTATAACCATCAGTGAAACTGATTATCTTGTATTCAGTAACCTCCAGTGATTCAATTTAGATCCATTTCTAACTTCATGGGTGGCCTCTGGTTCACTAGAGGAGCTATTTTGGGCTCCCCTGGATCCGGAAGTAGAAGTCCCATTCATTTTTCTCATGGACAGTTTCACATTATTCACAGGCTCAAATAGACATGAAACTCTTCTGGTTAAATCATCAGTGCAGAAGATTAAGAACTGCATTAAAAAATAACTGCTTCTTTTATAATAAGTCAAAGCTACAAACCTATGTACATAAAATTTCACGGTCGTGGGACTC